TGTGTGTGTGTGTGTGTGTGTGTGTGTGTGTGTGTGTGTGTGTGTGTGTGTTTGTGCCTGACCATACGATGCATCTTTTCTTATTTAATACGAAAGTATGCCAAAATTAAACTCAAGTTCATACTGAAAGCGGAAAAGCAAATAAGTTCCAAAGAGGAGAAAAAATGAGAACTCTGAAAACCTAAATAGAACTGAGAAAGAAGGCACAACAGATGTGGTGTGCACTCAGTCTTTTTTTTTTTTTCAGGGCAAAGTACCAAAATAATTTTACCTTTAGCCTCGCGATAACAACTTTCGATATTTTCAAGTACAGATGTTTAAAATCTAGATCTAATCTAAAGCAACGACGATCGACATCAAAAAACGACCCACGTCCGATTGAACTTGAGCTCGTAAGAAGCTTATTCCCACCGTGTTTCAGATATACACTTAGACTTATGACATGTACTATGAGTAAAAACATCTGCGTGGGCGGACCAGAAACCAGACAGGATTACTGGTTTTTTTCTTAAATGAGGCGGTTCAAATCTTTTAATCTCTATAAGTAGAACCTGGTACTCTTACGCTAAAATAGCTCAACTTGTGACATTTTTCGGATATTTCTCAAAATTTGTTAACTCTAGCATCTGGTTTTTTCCCCCGATCTTCAAATTTTAATCTACTTGTGACATTTTTCGGATTTTTCTCAACAATTTTATATTCATAGATGAATGTTTTTTTTCGTGTTAAAATCAGCACCCCACCCTCCCCTCACCACTTTCCTTTTCCCGCTCGGAATCTCACATCACTCTCCTACCTAACTACCCCTCCGCCATACATATTATGTTTTATCGGTGAGAATTCCTCAAGATACGAAATCAGGTGTAATTTCAATTAGTGCTCTTTCCCATTTTCAAAATAGCGTACATCTAACCGTGATCATAGAGCATTCTATTTATAGCGCAGAGGTTCTTTATGCATCGCCCCCATATCCCCCGATAATATGTTAAATTTTAAAAAAGAAACAGAAATAAATCTGTAGATCTAGAAGCTATGTTGTTTAGAAGATCTTATAATCTGCAATGTATTTTGTGTTTAGAATCACATACGCACACAAACATGCTCACAAGCACACATTAAAGCAATCTACCTCAGGGACACAAGGTGTGTGTGTGGGGG